GCTCACCACAGGTTCCTGCTTTACCAAAGTACTGTAACAACCTGTTTGTCACCAAAGTCTATTCAGGTAAGACAAATTCAAAATACTGGGAATTGCCATAGCTTTAAGCTTTAAGACCATAAAACTGTTCTAACTTTCATCTCACCAACTCACTGAGAGGCCACAGGAAATGAGAGGTCAACCACAGGTTGCCAATGGACACTGAGGCTAGTTAAAAGACTGTTCACACTTTGAACACAAATTAAACAGTAACGACAACTAACTTGGGGATAGAATAACTGCTGATTAACAGCAAAACGCCAAAGTTAAAGTCAATGATAAATGGCTCAACATTTCATGCTTGCTTTTGTTCTAATGCCCACTTAAAAAAAGTGGGGGCTGGAGAGGTGGCTCAGGTTAAGAGCACTGGCGGCTCTTCCAGGGGACCTGGGTTTAACTCCCAGTACCCACGTGGCAGCTCTAGCAATGTCTGTGTGGCTCAGGTTCCAATGTTCATAAAAAAAAAAAAAAAAGAAAAAGAGGCATTTAGATTCCCATATATATCACCACCACATAAAATTATTTTTAACTTTCAACTGCTTAAAAAAAGAAAACAAATTCAGGTTTTGTTGTTGAGACACTATTTAGCCCTAGCTGTCCTTGCCCCACAGAGATCCACCTGCCATAGCCTCCCAATTATTGAGATTAAAGATGTGAGACACCACCAAGCCTGGCAAAATAAAGGAGGAAAAAAAGTTATTTTTAAAAATACAAAGCAAGCCAGGCATTGGTGATACATGCCTTTAACCCCAGCACTCGAGAGACAGAGGCAGGCGGATCTCTGTGAGTTCGAGTCCAGCCTGGTCTAGAGTTCCAGGACAGGCTTCAAAGCCACAGGAAAAAAAAAAAAAAAAAAAAAACCCTGTCTCGAAAAACCTAAATAAACAAATATGCAAAGTATTCTAAAACAGCAAGATGATAACAGAGTGCTGACCTAACATGCTGGCCATCATGGTTTAAAAGAACAATTTAATAACTAATTGTATAAACACTGTGTCCACCACACTCACCTTTTCATTAATCCTCCACACAGCCACATGGTGCCTGACACAAACGGGCAGAAATATTTAAGGGTTTAAACTTGTTGCAAAAATTCCTATGATTCCCCAGGCTTTCTGCTTTGGAGGTCCATTCCCACCACACCTTTATTTAATCCAGCATATCCTGTTTGTACTGAGATTCTTCTGGAAAAGGCAATCTCTGAAAACTCAAAGCATTCTTAAATTTCCAAATATTCAGCAATAGCAGGGTGAGCCAAGTCCCCATTATGATCAGAATCAGTTTTCTGGTTGAATTTTCTGAACATTTCTTGAACCTAAGAGTAAAGGGGGGTTTTTTGCCTTTGTTTTTTACCCCTTGAAAATACACTTGGTCCTGTCAGCGGCTCAGAAGGCCTCCCCAGCCCCCACCTCTTTTGTATGTAAACACACTCTTGTCACACACTCCCATCAGCTGTTTGGTAGCTCCACCCCTCCTCCTTTTCCGGGTAGTAACAGAGCAGCCAATGAACTGCAAGGAGCTGTGCCTGCGGCCTTTTGCCTGCATACGCTTTTCCAAAACAAGCAGCTCTAGCCTTCAGCAGGGGCACTGGTTCACAGATAAAAGGCTCACCAGGGCTGTGCAACTGGGCGAGACAGTCACCCCCACCAACAAGGAAACCCATGTAACCTGAGCTGTTTGTTCCTCCACCAGGGAGAACTTCAACCAATATTCCTTTAGGGCAATCACGCTTAAGGTCACCAGAGTCCCAGGTCTCAGACAATGTAAATAATCAGTGGTTGCCGATGGAAACCTCAAAGGTTGGTGATCCTGTGCTCTCTCAAGGCTGGCAATCTACCTCACTCTGGCAAGCAAATGGCTGCACTACCCAAGCCCATTCCACCGGACCGAGGCTAAGGACAAGTGTTTTGACTCCACAGCGCCCAAAAGTCATGTAAATCAGTTTCTCTGCTCCTGTGGAGGTTTGCACAACACTCAGCTGAGGCACAGAAGAGAAACAATGAATGAGTCAGAGTTTCAGAACATAATCGCCCAGCAGATTAAATGCATTGGTGCAAAACACTCACTCACTCCCTGCATAACTTGGGAGTCAGCTATCCTACCAATCGGTCACAAAAGAAATGAGACTCTGGAGAGACGGTGTCTAAAGGTGGTGGAAAGCAGTGACCAATTAGTCACACGTCCCCTTCCCTTCCTACCCCCACCACCACTACATTCCTATTACACAGGGTTCCTGCCAGGCTGTAAACCCTTGTGGTATAATTACACCCAGACAGCCAAAAATGGGCTGAAACAGGAGACTTCGATCAGGCTCTACACCAAAGAAATCATCCACGACAAGGGACAAGAAGTACCATACATCCCTTCAGACCTTCTCTTTTCACTTCCTTAGCCCACGGTTCATTTTTAACCCTGGGCACTGACGGGCAGTTTTACTACTACTCATCTTAGCAGGAGACTGGGGAATTTGCTCTTAAAATTTCCATTTGGTATACCTTACCCAGAGACTGTAAACTCTACTTGGGCCTACCGATGTGAATTCAACTGAGACAGGAGGCCCTAAAACCCTCCACAATACACACCAACACACAAAAGGAAACCCGACAATTTTTAACTTCCAAACTACATTAAACCAGAAAATAAACTCGAAGCAGAGATAACCTCCAGCTTTCAAATCAAAACTGTTATCCTCTTGTCTCAGAAGGCTACAATTTTGAAGAGCCCTGGTTTCTTTTGTCAGCAAAGGGAAGGTGGGAAAACAACAGAAGCCAATGCATCTTTGCCTTTCTTCATCTTCTACTAAAAATAAGCTATGAAATAAGCCACTTAGGGAGAGGGAAAGAGACACCCTGCTGTTCTTTGTCTGTTTCCCTCTCCCTCACCACCCCCCACACCCGGACTCCTAAATGCGGTAATCATTCTAGATGCCACAACTACTACATGAACAAAAGGCACTGTATGGAAAAGGCATCAGGTCAAGTTAGGCCTCGATCTTTATCCTCAATCTTTTAGAAATCTATGTAAGAATGTAATTTGAGGAACTGACATTCATCAAAAACAGCTGGAATTCTCCCCCCCACCCACCCAATTACACATTAGGGTGAAATTTACATTAGGTGTCACAGTAACTCAATTCAAGACAAAAATAACTCCTAAATCTACCACCGTGTCATTTCCTAGTTTCTAAACAAAAATAAAGCTTCAAGCTGCTTTGTGTAAATGTCCACACAGCCACAGCTAGCTACAAGTTTTCCTGCGCTCTTATGAAAAGCCAACATTGCTGGTATCATCCACATATTTAAAACACAATCACTGCCAGAAACAGCTTATAAAGAGCTGATTTCACTTGTGTCTAGGTGTGTGTCTGGCACATTACCCTTTATTACTGGCTGTTCTCTGATCCCTCCTACTACCCTTTTCCCCAAACCCTAAACTTCCAAGTTTACCCACTATTCTTAATTTCTAGCCAGATCTCCCCTAGGTGAGGAGAAAAGCATGCTTTTATTCCTGAAAAGATGGATTGAACAAAAAAATAAAAAAACAAAAAAAAAAAAAATAGCCTAGGCAACTTCCCCTCCCACCCCCCCAAATTAAAATCCTATGCAAAAAACTTTTTTTAAAACATCAGCAAATTTCCTAACAGTTTTTGACAACCACCACTGATGAACAGAAAAGGTAAAACCATCAAAAACAGCAAAAAATAAAAGAAGGAATTCACCTGAAGAATCTAGCCAAACAACTTGAGTTATATAAACAAAATCCTGCAACAGGGGGAAATGGTGGGGGATGGGGGCGAGGCAGAAAGAGAAACCAGAGACAGGATTGACTTTTTAACAGCCTTTCACCTTCTCCCAAGGGATTAGCTATTTAGAACACAAGGCTCTCAACCACCACCCCCATCAGCCCAAAAAACTAAAAACCATTTTTTTAAATACTGGATTTGTTTCAGGAACCTTCGCGAATTTCTCTAGCTGGTCGTGAAATAATCAGTCTGGATTCCAACCAAAACCACTGCCTGGAAGACTTATCAGTTACAGCTCTCCCACTGCAACCTCGGGTGTGCATAAAGCTGGGGTGGGGTGGGGGAGTAGAAAATAAGAGATGTCACTTGGCCCAGATCAGAGTAAGCAGTCCCCAAGAACCGTACGCTCACAGAGGGAGTTGTGCTCAAGTGGCTAGTATAGGGGCTATTTTGTTCAGGAGCTCCTCTTTCTCTCCTAACTCCCAGCTGTCAGATCCACAATATGGAGGGAGGCCTGCCTGCTAAGAGGGCCTGGGGGTCCTCACTGCTCGCACTATGAGTGGGATAGGCTTTGTCAGGAGAAAGAAAAACAGGAACGTTCTCCAGACTAGAAGGCTTAACAGAGTGTCTGATTTAAAACACACGGAGCTCTTTATTACAAGAGGGGCCCGGAGCAGACTACTCTCTTCCTAATATAGAAAGGAATTAGGGATAAAGGAGGTCGATTGAGCTACCCCAGTTTAAGCAGCACTGTGAGCGGAAGGAACCCGGACACCTCAAAAAAAAAAAAAAAAAAAGAAGAAGAAGAAGAAAGGCTTCCCTCTCAGGAAATTTCTATCATGAGTCCATAAATCAATCCAAAGCTAGCAAACAGGAAGCCAAGACCCTGAAGATGAGCTCCCGGTGACGAAGGAGGCGGCTGGTTAGCGCCCCCCTCCCAAAGAAAGGGCCGTCTTAGGAATCCAAACGTCGTGGGGGGAAAAGTCACGGGCTCCGGAGGGTGCAGGAGAGCGAGGAGCAACGCACATCTCGGGGGGCTGCAGATAAAGGGGGACTGAGAAAGCCCTGGGCTCCGGGGAGGTGCTAAGGGGCCGCCGTAGGCACCGGGGGAGGGAGGGAGGGAGGGAGGCGCGGCCAGTGGCCTGGAGTGCCCCGGAGCCCTGGCCCGGGCACCCCACCCGCCCCACACGCAGTCCCAATCCCCCTCCACGAAGGATACAGCTTGACTACGTCCGTGTCCATCCGCCTCTTGCCGGGACTCGGGGATGACATGGTGTCGCCGCCGCCGCTGCCTCCCCGTCGCCTGCGCCGCCGCCGCCTCTCTCCCCTCCTCGGCCCGTCTGTCACGGGCCCCGGGCCCAGCTCGCAGGGCCCCGCGGCCGCGCCGGCTCCTCGGCCGAGGTGGCAACACCCGCGCGGTCCCGTGGGGTCCGCTCAGCCGCCGCCGCCGCCGCCGCCGCCGCCCCCCGCACGGGGCAACACCGGGCACTGCCCCGCCGAGTGGGGGCGGGGACCGAGGCGCCCGCTCGGGCTGCCCTCCGGCAGAGGCTCCGCCGCGGCCCGGGCAGGCGAGGCGCTGCTCCGCGCCGTGCGCCGCTCCCCCCCCCCCGCCTGCGCCCGCTCGCTCCCTCGCTCGCTCGTTCGCCGGCCCGCCCGCTCACGCTCTCGCCAGCTCCCAGCTGCTTCCTCCACAAGCGGACGACTCCTGCTCGATCGGCCTCCCCTACCCTAGCCTCGCTCCGGGCGCCGTGATGTCACCTCTGTGACGTCACCCGAGGGGCGGGCGCCGGTGGGAGGGGCGGGGCGTCGTCGCGGCGTAGGTTTGGCCGGGGAGTTCTGGGAGATGTAGTTCCTCTTTCTCCTTGCCCGCCTGCATCCCTCTGCCCCCTCCCCCAACCTCCCCACACACTTCATCGCTCAACTGCCAGTGTCGTTACCATCAACATAAACGATGGTAGTAAATAATGGCACTATGATTACACTCATGTGCTTCATGAACCACCCTCTCACACAGTGTTACAAAGGGCTGTTTGGATATGGAGGAGGCCAAAGTGGCAATTACTCAGACTGGCGTCCAAATCTGGAAATTCCCACACCAGCATGTTTTCTGCACTCTGCTCCCTCTTCAGAAGGAAAGAATTGGTTTGCAGGGGTTGTAGACTACAGCAAGGCTTCCTCGGAGCTTGCAAATCAGCGTTCATTAATCCTCCACATAAGGCCAATAATTCCAGGAGTGCAGTAGGAGCAGCAAGGTAGCAAGAACAGATCATTTGGTGTTAACATCCTTGTTCTAAAGAATTTGAGGTAAGTTGAGGTAATTTTGAACTCTAGTTGAGGACAAAGATGGTCCAGCTCTCCAGCCTCCTATACCAACCATGTCTACTTGCTCATTCACTTAAGAAACATTAAGTGCTGCTATATGCTTATGACCTCACTGAGTTCATGAATGAGGGCTATAGTGTGAATGATGGCAAAATTTACACAGCCCTCCCAGAATGGGCCTAAGTGTCGGCATCACTTGGGAGCTAGTTAGAAATGCCACTAGAAAGGCCTCAGGCCTACTCGTTAGCACATGCAGCTGAGCGAAGTTCTCAGGTGGTTCCCTCAACAGTGAAGTCTGAGGGATACTGCTCCACAGGGCTCAAAAGTTGACGGTGGAACTAAGGGGCCAACCAGTCAAAAGAGAATAGTGCCAAGTATTTTCGAAGGCTTTATCGATTGTGTTTTCCCTGTGACTACACTTATACTTTAACAAGTAAAGTGTTGTGAGCTGGGTCCCTTTTTAAAAATCTTGCATACACACACACTCACACTCCTGGGAACAGAACAATGAACTAAAGTTGAACATCATTTGCTGTTATCATTCTACCCCTCAATGTGTCAACTATGTTTTTAATTGTAACATGCATACCATAAAATGTTGTGTTAACCATATTGAAATATTCAATGCAACCACATAAAATATCATTAGCTGTTGTGCAACCATCACCGCTGCTCATTTCCAGAAACTTCTCATCAATCCCAACAAACTGTACCACTTAAGTAACAACTCCTTGTCCCCATTCCAGTGGACCTTGCAACTTCCATTCTATGGTCTGGAGGAAGAAAGAACAATTGATTGCTTTCTCCTACATCAACTCTGTCAGCAGATGTGTGAAGGGACTTCTAACCCCCTTTATTTGATCACTTTGTTGAACGAAGGAAAAAACAAACCAAGATTCATCTTTCTCGATGTCTACACCAGACTCCCTAGAGTATTACTGCTGCTACCTGATCTCCTACCCTCCTTGGCCTGATTAACTTCCACCCCTGTGCTAAGACAGTGGTTTTCAAGCTTGGCCCAATGCTTCAGAATCACCTGGAGAGCTTGTTAAGCTCACAAGTGTCCAGGAACTGCCCCCTGAGGATTCAAAAGGTCCAGAGGGAAGCCTGAATATCCTTGTCTTTAACAAGCACCGCAGATGGTTCTGATGCTGGCCGAATCCGGAGAACCCCTGCCTTCAATATTCTGATAGGCACCTACCTGAAGACCCCTTGCTGCTAAGCGCATTTATAAAAATGTCCTGTGGCAAGAAGGCAGATGAAGTACCCTCCACTCCTCCACCACACCCACGGTTATTGTCTCTAAAACCACAGCATACATACAGAACAGACAGAAAGGGGGGTGTCAAGGAAGGGACACTCGCTCGAGGAAGAAAGGACTGGAGTGGGGACCTAGAAACTCTACCTGGTGCTTTCCTCTTCACTAACAGAACTGCTGTGATCAAAGAACGTGGCAAAATAGTCATAGCAGTGTTTCATAATGGAAATTTTCAGGCTACACTGACAAACTGGAAGGCCACACTGGTAGTGGCGAGGCTGCTCTCTCCACGTACAAGCCAGTGTTAGCCGTTCAAGCAGTCTTTCTTCGCAAAGGGAGCATCCTAAAGGAGGGTCATGATGTTGCTAGGAGGCACTCTGTTTTATTTTTTAAAGATGTAATTATTTCTGCTGAACGCGTATGAGTGTTTGCCTGCATGAATGAATGTACATCATGTACCTGGTGCCCTTGGGTGGTCCGAAGAGAGGGTCAGATTCCCTGGCACTGATGATACAGGCAGTTGTGAGCTGCCGGGAGCCAAACTTAGATCCTGCTCAAGAGCTGCACCTGTTCTTAACTGAGGAGCCATCTCCCCAGCCTCGGAAGCACTTTAACCCTTGCTTACTTAGGACAAATCTGCCCCTCCCTGCTCTTAATTATGCCTCAGTAAATTGCTTCTATCCTCCCTGAGTCTCAAATGTTCTCATCTATAAAGTCTGGGCTCTGATGCCTACCCTGCTTCAGTAGGTTGATGGGAGTCAATGGAAAAGACCAGTGTGAAAACCCTAGATCTGAGAGCCTAGAAACTATGAAAGGGGTAGGAAATACCGATGGCCAGGTTTCCTGTGGTACGCATGCTGGCCTTATGCGACTATTACTCTACCCTCAACACCCCCTTTCCCCACTGCTTACTGAAAGGAGGAGGAGGCCATTCGCTTTGGGGAAACTGGTTATGTTTGCCTGCTTTTGAGGATGCTACAACACCCATTGTCCCTCTCTGTGTCAAAAGTATGCACACACTTCTCGCTTCGTATTCTGTCATTTGTTCTTTAACCAATGCATCTCCCCTAGTCTGACCTTCCTGTTTCCAGAGCTTCAGGGAACTCCTGAGCCTGCCCTTGAATGCGAAAGTTCAAAAACTTTCCCAAGGTTTAGTTAAAGAAAACTGAGGTTACCAGTGAATCAGTTAGGCTTGCTTTTGCCTGTGTTTCGGCTGTTGAGAATGTCAATAATTTACTCTAAGACAACACCAGGGCTTGGGAGTGTCTGTTTATACACTTGCAAGACGGTGCTGTGGAATGAGCCGTGTGCTTCCTTATCAGGTACAGCCAAGGGGCGCCTGGGAGGGAGCCGATGTCTGACCAGCCTGACTCACCAGTGTTGCAATCTGAGAAATGGATTCTGGGCCTGCTTATCTCTGCCCAGGGCAAGGCTAAGCTTGACCGGTGGGGCCTCTGAGCTCAGAAGCAGCTTCCACAAGGCAAGAAAGTAAGCATTGGGGAGAATATAGTGCTTCTAGCAAGACACTAAGATCAAACCAGTTATTCGGCAGAGCGAGTGGAAGAGACCAACAAGAACCTGAATAGTTTGTAAAATGACCTATTAACCATTAAGACGAATTTATGGGTGTCCCTTCCCAGGGTGAAACCCCCCCCCAATACAGCCTCCTGTTCCCGTGGGGTTGTTCCTCAAACATAACTATTCATCTCTCAGGGACAGTCTGGATCCCTTCAGGGGGTCGTGGTATCAGCAGACTCTACTCCTGTGAACATAAAGCTGGAGCCATGGCTCTGTAGGTAGAGCCCTGGTCACATGAGCATGAGGACCTGGGTTCAGCTCCCCATGCAGTACCCTGTGCCCCCAGTACTCTCCAGGGGATGGGAAGCAGGAAGCCTGAGCATCTACAGCAGCCAGGTAACCTGCTGTGCCCAGTGGCAAGTAAACACAGTGGAAGGCAAGGACTGGTGCCCTTGGTTACCCCCTGACCTCCACATGCATGCCTGAACTGAAACACACTTGAATTCTTGCGCACATACAGACACAAAAACAAAAAAAACCCTTAAAGTTCTCTTCAGCTCCTCCGTGCGTGACCTGATCATAATGTGTCCTCGGGAGCAGTGAGAGCTAAGAAACATGGAACATGAATCAGTAGCACCTTACAGACCCGACAACCTTCTTCTCCCAGCCCCTATCACTGAGAGAACCTTGGATTAGGTCACCTGGCCTTTCAGTTTCTATTTTCTCATCTGAAAGCAGGAAGATAGCTTCTGTCAGGCTCACAGAGACAACATTGCAACCTCTAGAGCACCAGTCATGTGTGACATGTAATGTCTACACACACGTGCAAACACAACCTCACACACGCTCCCCAGTATCAAACTCAAAGGAGAGAGGAAGCCTGGGAAATTACACCTACGTCCAGGGAGCTCCCACTTGGGCCAGGTGTCCTGGCTAGAGCCCTTGTTTCCACAGGTGGTACCCTGCCTTTCCTTTTCCACTGTTATCTCCTTGTTCTGGAGATATGGACGCCTCAGATCTCCGGTCTGCAAAATCCCCACACGACCTTGTCCAGCCTCAGAGCTTTAACTGCTATCCCTACTGACTCCTAAGAAGACATTTGTAATACAGGTCTTCATTCTTCAACACCACACATGAATAGAGAGGCCTATTCCCCATCTCCTCAGGACCCAGAATACATTTCAGATGCCACACCCTTTCCTCCTTCACAGGTAGCTTCATCTTAGTAACTGGCAACTTAGAAAGAAATGCATGCAATTACTCTTTAAGGTTAAGAGTCATTGTTTAAGCTGGGTGGTGGTGGCACGGGTACAGGCCTTTAATCCTAGCACTTGGGAGGCAGAAGCAGGTGGATCTCTGAATTCAAGGATAGCTTGGCCTACAGAACAAGTTCTGGGACATCCAAGGCAACACAAAGAAACACTGTCTCAACAGAACAAAACGAAACAAAAAGAACCATTGCACAACCTAATGTATCCAAAGACCATGATCATTGTTGAAAATCTTTCTAGCCTGGCAGGTGATGAATGCCTTTAATCTCAGCACTCAAAAGGCAGAGGCAGTTGGAATCTCTGTGAGTTCGAAGCTAGCCTGGTCTACATAGCGAGTTCCAGGACAGGCTACAAAGCTACAGAGAAACACTGT